ATCATCAGTCTTACAGATAGTAAACTTTGAACAAGTGTAGGTGCTACTGGTGAGATATATTGGCAGATACATGTAGAAAGGTGTCATGGTACTGCTGCTTAGACTCTGAAAGGTTTTTGTACAGATCTGCTGATGGTTTGTGTTACTCTGGCTGTCTGGCACAGTAGTACCCAGCTGTGTCTTCAGGCTACAGATTTTGGCCTTTTAAAGTCACTGTGTTGTTGGAAGAATCTAATTCAAAACTGAACTTTGAACTCTGAACACAGTCCTGACTCATCCACTCCAGTCCTTTCCCTGCAGGCTGTCTGATCCAAGCTATGCAGTAGCACAGAACAGAGACCTGACAGGTGATGGTCAGATGCTGACCTGGCTGCACTAAGACACAGGCTGGCTGTGTCAACTATTCACACTTCACACATGTTGAAAAACAAAATGTTTTGTCATAAATTCTCAATTCATATTAAAAAGAACTGCTGAACATGACAGATTTAAACAGACTCACATTCAGAGTTTGCTTGTGAACCTGATGTGCTGCGATCTCCACTCCAGTCTGATGTCATGTCTTTATGAATAACATGAACATAGAATCAAACTAAATATGTAGTTCTTATATAATGACTGTAATACTTGCAATGTTTCCATAATCTTGTATATATTATTATTATTATTATTATTATTATTATTATTATTATTATTATTATTATTATGGACAGACCTATTTACCAAAATATATATATATATATCAATGTACAATGTATATTCATTGATTGTAAGAAATTGCTTAGTTCTTAAAAACATTATTGTTTTTCATTTCTTGGTAAATCTGCTCAAACGCATTAAAAGTACATGATCAGGATCATAAATCATAAACAAAACCTTGTATGTACTTTTGCAAATAAATGTACATAGAATATGAGAAAGTTTTCATGACACCTGCATTTTTACATTTATTACTTGTGTGTGGTTGTGTGTTGCTTGTTGTTGAGTATTTGTGCAGGTCTGTCAGTGGTTTGTATCACTGTGTGGTAACGTGCACAGTAATAAACAGCTGTGTCCTCAGGCTGCAGATTCTGTCCTGTTATTGTCACCGTTTGAGCAGAAGTGTCTCTGCTCACGCTGAACTTGTTCTTTAAAGCATCATTGTTAGCAGTGTTCCCAATATACCACATGCAGTTAATCCAGTCCATTTGCTTTCCATCACGCTGTCTGACCCAACATGTTCCATAGCTAGTTATAGAATAACCAGAGACCTGACAGGTGATGGTCAAAGACTGTCCAGGCTGCACAATTCTTGAGTCTGGTTGGGTGAGATCAATACTGTACACACCTGTGGAAACAGAAATCAATATTATTACCATCATTTATCTGACTATTCAGTGTTTCTAATGTGTTTATTAGAGTGAATCCACTAAATGCTCCTCACAGGATCCAGCAGCCAGCAGCAGTATCAGAGTGAACATGATTGATGCTGAAGCTGAAATGATGTGAGCTCATTGGTCCTCTCACTGAAGCACAGAAGCACCACTCCCTTTTAAGTAACTTTTTCATTTGCATATTTTTAAATAAATTAAATTTAAATATAATTTTGACCAGACTGCATAGTAAAGTGTTTTTTGTTTTGTTTTGTTTTATTGTTTTTCTTTAAAGACTTAATAATGAATTATTTACAGGTTCAAACTAAACATTTTTGACTGTTGCTGAGTATTTGTGCAGGTCTGTGAGTGTTCAGCCTCTGACTAACAGCAGTTATCAGCTTAATAAACCTGAAGTCCTGTTTTGTTTTAAATTTATTTTACAAACATGTCAAATCAAATTTGTATTTATTTCCATATAAACTGTATACATTATGATACAGAGCATTTTAAATAACATTTTCACTGCCGCTGAATTTATTATTTTTTTCAATATAGACAAAGAACTGAATTATGAGAAACTGTCTTAACAAAAAATAAAATAAATATTTATTTCCGTAATAACACATCTACTGATTCTGACTCCAGTGAAGTAAGGATCTTTTCCAGAACAGCTAAAAACAGGCACAGAGTTTAGTTGATGGTGTATAAGCAGCGTCCAAAGTTCAGTTTTGCTTCCTCCTCTGAAAACCAAAGTTATTCTCTTGAAATGACAAAAACATACAAACAATTTACACTTTTGGACTTGAAGAATAGCAGCAATGCTAAAGGTACTAGTTAGTAGAATGGGTAGGACTGCCTATATTGATGTATCCAAATAAAGGATTGAGACTTAAACTGTTGTTCAGTCTTTCTTATTTTTAAGATGTTTGTATTTGTGAGAAAATGAAAATAAAGATTTAACATTAATAGCTAATAAATATCCCATAAAATGAACATTGAGTTAATTGCAAAGTCTCAGAAACATAGAAAAGTAAAGTTAATCACTCCTCCTAACTTTTTTAACTGAAGTTTACACGATGAACCACAACTCTGATCTTGCCCTTTTCGAAAAGAAGATATTTGACAGCACCTGCCCTCTAGTGGTCTGATGGGAGCAGCAACTGTAATGTCTCTGTTCTAAAATATGCATATTTCTCTCAGTGATACTTTGACAGCAATATTAGCCAGCAAAATGTTTTACATGTAGTCACTGTCCTATGTGATATTGTCACATTAGTAACCCTCTACAGTCCTTTTTCAGGTGTCTGTTTGACTTAGACAAGAGGATTTACTGACTGTGAATCTGTTGGATTCTCTAGACCTTTAATTCACAGGTTCAAACTCACAATCTGACTTTCAGGACTTGTAAAATATAATAAAACTGTAACATAATAAAACACCCACTGTTGAACACCTTTGGTCACAAACTAGTGACTGAAAGAATAAGATCGTGGATACAAGCAGCAGAAATTAGTTTCGTTTGAAGAATGGCTGGACTCTTCCTTAGAGATAGGGTGAGGAGTTCAGTCATTTGAAAGGGGCTCAGACTAGAGCTTCTACTCCTCCATATTGAAAGGAACCAATTGAGGTGGTGTGGGCATCTGATGAAACTGCCTCCTGGGTGAGATGTTCCAGGCATGTCCCATTAGAAGGAGCCCCCTGGAACAGAACATTGACACATAGGATCATTAAATCTCTCGGCTGGCCTAGGAACACCTCGGTATTCCCTCACATAGGCTAGATGAGGCTGGGGAGAGGGAGGTCTGGGCTTCTCTACTGATTGGCTGCTGCCAATGACACCTGACCCCAGATAATCAGAAAAAAATGGATGACTGAATTGAGGGATGGAGGGATGGGTTACGTTATTTAAAAAAAAAAAAAGATTTGAATCCCTTTCTAACAAGAAAAAGAAAAGGAAAAAAAATTGCATTCAAATTTTTCTGTCAGGCAAACCTAACAAATGAGACTGAGAAATGCTGATTACATCAAATGAGTAATAATGTTATCTGTTTCCACAGGGTTGTATTGATCTCATTCAGCTAGATTCAAGGGATGTGCAACCTGGGCAGACTTTGACCATCACCTGTATGTTTAGGTCTCTAGGTATTAGTTGACTAGCTATGCGACAGGATGGATCAGGCAGTGTGAAGAAAAATAAATGGATTGGATTAATTGCATGTGGTCTGATGGGAGCATTGCCAACAACGATGCTTTAAAAAACAAGTTCAGCATCAGCAGAGACACTTCTGCTCAAACAGTGACAATAACAGGACAGAATCTGCAGCCCGAGGACACAGCTGTTTATTACTGTGCACGTTACCTCACAGTGATACAGACCATCAGAAATCCTCAGCAACTAGAAACACACAACCACACAAGTAATACATTTACAGAAACACAGGCCCACACACACACACACACACACACACACACACACACACACACACACACACACACAGCAAGAGTAAGAATGTAGCTCTTTGCAGGATGTTTCTACCAGCTACTATGTGTCCAAAGCTAACTGAGCCCTGAAACTTCTTTTTAATTTCAATTTCTAATAAATGTGCTCGGCTTAAATCACTTAAGTAGAAAATGATCAGAGAAAAAGAAGGAACATAAAGAAAAATAGTTCTGTTTTCTGTGGCCTACATTGTAGAGGGTGACTACTGCTCTTTACTACTGCTCTGAGCAGTCTCTCCTCTGCTGCCCTGTCCTTCTTATCTTTCTCCATCTCTGAGTAAGGTTAGCTCTCTTTCTTTTCTCTCCCTGTGAAATACAGCAGCTGGACCTTTAGCTAGCGAAACACTTTGCAACAAACTGTAGACACAGTTTCTGTGTTTGCTGATGTTTGTTTAGCTGATAGAAACCTTGCATTTGAAATTGTCTGCTAAAAAAACATTACTCCCTTTATGCTCCTCTTGCTTCTTGTTTTTAGCAGACATCTGCACTCATTTTAGTGTTGCCCCGAAAAAACAACAATTCTTTTATCTCTTCTTATGCCACATCCCCCAAGTGATTACAGTTTTTTACAGACGCTAGGACACATTTCTCAATACTTAGGTCACGTTTGCAAAACTCCTCACACAGTGAGCACAACAGAAGTCTATGTGGGCTAAACTGAGGACCAGTTATCATTGTTTTGGCACAAAATGCATTCAATGACTACATCTCTCAAATTTCATGAATTATCTTCTCACTCAGACACAACAACTGCCAAAAATCTTTGTACGTACAGGACATTTTGCATGTGCTTACATACTGTTTTCAAAACTGTTAAACTTATGGCCAAAACAATAACACAATGCAAAACTTAAAAAGACAGCAAAATGCAACAGCAATATTTTATTGAAACATATTTTAAATCTAAAAATGCAGTTTAACCAGCCACAGCTTATTCTCATTGTAGATGAACATCTACACAGGTGTTACTCCTTCAATTTTTCAACTCCTTCAATTCTGGCATGCCAGAAGATTCTTTCCTAGGTGTATTGCCCTAGATGACATAAGATGTGATGTGGATGAGAACCTGTGGCCAAATGGAGAAGACCGAGTAGATTAGCATTACTATTGTATGTGTATCAGTGGATGGTGTGTATAACAAGTTTTTTACAGTCGCTAACAAGCGCCTACCCATACTTCAGATACTTTTTCTAAACTCTTAACACAGACCCACACCTACAAAACACAATTGGCCAAATGGATAATATCCTTCCCAAAAATACACTCTGTTAAATATATACTAACTCCTCATTTCAAAATTAGAACACATCTTTCTCTGCACACACTAACTGTACAAAAACACTATAAATCTGACTCAAAATGAAATTAGTCTGTCAAAGAATAACACTTGTCTTCACTTCACAAGGTACATGCAGTCAATCAAAGTACACCAGGTGTCAAAATACTGGCTATTATTGACATTACAAAAACTGCATAGACTTTTATGTTTCAGTTTTACAGGTATGTGCATGCGAAACATGCAATCCACCATTTTGACACCAGAAATGTCTTGGTTGGTAACTGCATGTCCACATGTACAGTAATGTTCACATTCAAAAGCATTCCAGTAAAAAGCAAACAAGTTTCTGTGTCTTTACTGTTTACTACAGGAGGTACAGTAGAAACACGGTATGATAGGACAGAGAAAGTGTCACAGTATTGCTTACAGTGAACAAAATATCCATGGAACACACAAGAGCATTCTGAACAAAAAAACAACAGCAAAAAGCCAAGATAAAAAGGGGGGGAGGGGGGCTAAAAAAAGGCAAAAAAGTTGCATCTAATCTCTGCGATCTTCAGGGTTAGGCCACATGTTTTCATCAACATCACATCTGATGTCAGCCAAGTCGATGCACCTGGGATAAAACCGCCTGGTATGTCGGATCCACCCTTGGCAATCGTCAACTGTGATGTCCCTGGAGCCAGCATCCATGGCTTCAAGGAGGGACATCTGGTCATGTGGCTGATGGTCATAAACCTTCCACCTCCATGCAGAAAAGAACTCCTCTATGGGGTTGAGGAAAGGTGAATAGGGTGGAAGGAAGAGACTCACCAGTCTTGGGTGGACTTCAAACCATGTTGTTATTGCTTGCGAGTGATGGAAAGCCACATTGTCCCAGGTAATTACAAAGGTCCTCATGTTTTCACCCTCCTGACCCTGCTCTGGAACCAGGCGCTGGTGGAGATCATTGAGAAAGGCAAGCAAGCGCTCTGTATTATAGGGTCCAACCTGACATCTGTGAAGGAGTAATCCTGCATTTGCAATTGCTGCACACATGGTAATGTTTGCCCCTCTCTGTCCTGGCACATCAACTGTGGCCCTTTTTCCAATTACATTTCGTCCACGTCGACGCCTTTTGGCCAGATTGAATCCTGCCTCATCGATGTATATGAATTCATGAGGGGCCTGGTTGGCCTCCAATTCCATAACTCTCTGAAACAAAGTTTATGTAAGTCATGTTAGTACTGTATACCATACTGTACTGTAACCTAGTATTGTGTAGGTTACCTACTTGCAAAGTGCAAAGCTTATAGAACTGGACATTGGATTGAATATACACTATACCTGGACATATTGTCGTCGTAGCTCCTTGACCCTCTCACTGTTCCTCTCAAAGGGAACAGTGTAGAGCTGCTTCATGTGTATTCTATTTATTTCAACAAAGTAACTGTATTCGGATTACCACCGATTTAAACGGTAACTGTAATGAAATACAGTTACTCATATTTTGTATTTTAAATATGAGTAACTGTATTCCGATACATGTATTCCGTTACTCCCCAACATTGGTTGTACTCAGTGGTTGAGAGGAGAGGTAGAAACACTCAACAGGACAGTCAAAACTCACTGGTACTGGGAATTCCAGTGTTTGTCCTTTAATGCATGCTCTCTTCATCAACCTTAAAGGCCCGGTTGAACGGCTGCTGCTTATCATACATGAAGCACAGTGTCTTACAACCCGTAACATTGCAAATTGTTAGAGGGGTAAAAGTTATAAGGTCCGTGTTTCTGTCCCTTCACTCACGTGCAAGCACATTGCTCTCATACTCCACAGACGGCAGTGGCATATATTAGTGACATCACTAACCCATAAGTTGTCTGAAAGAGAAACCACACCATTGTGACTGTTACAGCTTGCAGTGAGGTGAAACAAATTTCTCGCCTCAAATGTGTTAAACCAAAAGTTATAAGCCTGTGTGAAAATGTAAGGAGTAGAAGGTACAGATATTTGTTTAAAAATGTAGGAAGTAAAAGTAAAGAGTTGTCAGAAAAACAGCAACTTAAAGTACACGTGCATAAAAAAAGAGAGAGTGCTTACATCTATTATTCCCACTCAGTTCAATGCTGGTTTATCATCCTCAGTGAATACAGCAAACAGCATTTCAAATATTTCATTGTCAAAGGTATCCACAGTGATCAGTTAAAGTGATCACAAACAACCATTGATGGATGTTTGTGATATCCATCAATGGTTAAAAATCCAGCGCTAATCCAGAAAAATATAACTTTAATTTGCTTTTATTTTTCTTGTTTTTTTTACAGAGGTCTTGTGTCACCACTTCTTCATATCTTGCTTTAAAGTAATCAGTCTTTCTTGTCATTTTATAAAGTGGCGTTGAGCAATACTTCTTAAGGGTTTCTGTTCATAGTTTTCATTTGGACACTGGCTGCATTTTCAATCCACACTTGTACCTGACCATTTTGAGAGGATTTTTTTAAGCAACTTATCTCTCATCTATCAATCAATCAAATAATAAACAGCTGTGTCCTCAGGCTGCATATTCTGTCCTGTTATTGTCACTGTTTGAGCAGAAGTGTCTCTGCTAACACTGAACTTGTTTTTTAATGCATCATTTTTGTCAGTGCTCCCACCAGCCCATATCATGAGAATCCACTCCATTTGCTTTTTTTCATGCTGTCTGATCCAAGCTGTTGCATAGCTAGCTAAAGAATAACCAGAGACCTGACATGTGATGGTCAAAGACTGTGCAGACTCCACAATGCTTGAGTCCGGTTGGATGAGGTCAATACTGTACACGCCTGTCGAAACAAAAATCAACATCATAGTCATTACCCATTTTATTGTCTAGCATTGCCACTGTGTTTAGTGTGAATCCAGCATTCTCTCACAGGATCCAGCTGTTAGCAGCAACATCAGAGATATAAAAGAGCACAGTTGATCTTGAAGCTGAAGAGCAGTGAGCTCTTATGTCCGCTCAATGATGCAGTTGCATGCTTTACTTTGATTTTGGGGAAGTTCTTGATGTCTGTTTGAATAAAGGGACTTTGTATTTGCATTTCATTGTTCTTCACTAATCTAAGTATTGTTGATGTGTTTACTGCAGATCAGATTTTTTTCTAACCATGGCTGCTGTGTTAACAGCTGAACTACCTAAGGACTTAATATAATTCAAACTGACACATTTTACACATTTCTTTTGAGTATCATTAAATATTATTGGCATTCATTTTATCAGTGCAAACTGTGCAGCTCATCTTTTTAAGTGTGAACTGCCAATGTAAACTTCAGTGGTCTGAGGGCTCCTCCTGTGGTGGTGTCGTGGTACAGCGGCTTAAAGTCTGAAAGGCTTTTGTTCAGGTCTGCTGATGGGTTGTGTTACTGTGGCTCTCCTTCTTGCACAGTAATACACAGCTGTGTCTTCAGGCTGCAGATTTTGTCCTTTTAAGGTCACTGTGTTACTGGAAGAGTCTAATTCAACGCAGAACTTGTTCTTCAGTGAATCTTTGACAGTTTCATCGTCACTCATCCACTCCAGTGCTTTTCCTGCAGGCTGCCTGATCCAAGCTGTGTAGTAGCTGCTAAGAGAATAAGAGACCTGACAGGTGATGGTCAGATGCTGACCTGGCTGCACTAACATAGAGGCTGGCTGTGTCAGCTGTTCACGCTTCACACCTGTAAAAAAACCCAAAATGTTTTGTGACAAATTCAAAATAAGAACAACTGCTGACTACGATAGCCTTAAACAGACTCACATTCAGCTGCCAAGAGCATTAAAAGTGCTACAGAAAGCATCTCTGTTTGTCAACTTGAAGTGCTGCGAACTCCACTCCACAGTCAGATGTCTTGTTTTTATACATGAAAAACAGGAAGTCAAAAAGTTTGCATAGAATCAAACATTTAAAACACCAGTGTTGTACAAGTTACTTTGAAAAAGTAATTAATTATAGTTACTAGTTACTCCTTCAAGAAAGTAACTGAATTAGATTCTAAAAGTAATTAATTATTTGAAAAGTAACTATTGCGTTACTCAAAAAAAAAAGTTTAACCCTCTGGGGTCCACCGTATAATTGGCCATTTTTAACTACTTTTGATGTTTCCTCTACATTTCACCTTTAAAAACTATTTACTTTGCCTTGTTTGGTATCATCCTTTTCGGCACAACCTCACGTGTCTGAATTTACAGTTATGTTTTCATTTTGATATACTGTATTAACGCAATTGATCTATAAGCAGACAAAAAACATAAAATCAGAGTAGAAAAAGTTATATTTTTTCTGTAACAACCACAAACATGTTTATTGAGTCATATTTGTTGGTGGCTGTAGCTCAGGTGGCAGAGCAGGTCAGCCACTAATCAGAAGGTCAGTGGTTCAATCCTGGCTGCATGCCAAATATCCTTGGGCAAGATACTAACCCCATGTTTGCCTACTGGTGGTGGTCAGAGGGCCCAGTGGCGCCAGTGTCCAGCAGCCTCGCCTCTGTCAGTGCTCCCCAGGGCAGCTGTGACTACAACGTAGCTTGCCATTGCCAGTGTGTGAATGACTGAATGTAGTGTAAAGCGCTTTGGGGTCCTTAGGGACTAGAAAAGCGCTATATAAATACAGGCCATTTACCATATTTCATAACTTTAAATGCAAATATAAATTGTCAATTTGAAAATCATACGCACAAGTTTTGCAAACAAAGTTATTTGCAGTCATTTACCTTTTACCCCGCTTTTTATGACCATTTCAAACTATTTACATAACAATCAGCTGTTCTGCTTTCAATAAGATGCCACACAAATTATTTGTGCCACTCCAAAAAGATAATTTCTGTCCACTATAAAGGAGAACATCACAGCCTGATACCTGCAGGCCTGACAGCAGCAGGTGTATCACTCATGTTTCTTCCTGGAGACAGCAACTCATTGTTCTGACACACAAGACAAAACTATCCACAACACTACACAAGACAACACATTAACTACACACTCCAAACACGCTAAACGTTACAAATCTCTCACATCTCAAAACTCTGCTGTCTCTCTCTCTCTCTCACTGTCACTCCTAAAACTTCCCCCTCTTCCTAAACAACCAAAAGTCATGTTGCCATATCATTTTCCACCAACACGAAAGGGCTGGGGTTTTTTTTTTTTTTTTGTTGTTGTTGTTTTGGGTTTTTTGCTCATAAGCAGAGAGTGCTTGCTAGCGCTGTCCTTAGACAGTAAACATGACGAAACTATTGAGGAAAAAACGCCGCGTATATATTGTTTATCATGTCTCTGTTTTTACTGGCCTATCAACACAATTTAAAAACTGGTATATATCACCTTGTTGCTTTGTCTTTAAGTGGTCATGTGATTGGTTTACCACGACTACTTTATTCTTTTTCAGTCAAACAGCAGCACTCATGCGACTGTTTTGCCCCCTTAGCTCCAGGTGTTGTGCCAAAAAGTGATCGTCGGGCAGAAAGTGATTGCTGTCGGCGGGAGCGCGCGCAGCTGCTTAAAGTTGTAGCGCCCGGATTACTTACAGCTACTTCCATAGAAGGGAGGTTGGACCTCCACGCGCTCTCTGGACACAGATACTGTAAAAAATGTAATAATAAACATGATTGTCCATAAAATTCTGAGCTCTATTGTGGGGGACAGCAGTCCACACTAGAAAAACAAAAACTAGAAACACAAAAAACAAGAAATGAAGTATTCTCAATCAATCAATCAATCAATCAATCAATCAATCAATCAATCAATCAATCAATCAATCAATTAATTAATAGTACTTTACATATACATTTTGTGAGTAAAAGAAAAGATAATTAAAATACTATATGCTAAACTTGCTTAGATGAGAGGGTCCAGCTGTAGATCAGAGTAATAGGAAAGGATTTGTGAATGTCTGTGTGTTTTAGTTTGGTTTAGCT